GATGTAGACGTATTTCTTCTGGGCTGCACGCCAAACCCTAAACCCTAAACCCTAAACCCTAAACCCTAAACCCTAAACCCTAAACCCTAAACCCTGTCCCCAGTTGTTTGTTTGGGAGGTGTATTTGGTGAATGCATGCAAAATGAAGAGACGAAAAAAATTAAAAGAAGAAGAGAGAAAGTAGAGGCAGACAAAGAAGAAGCAGATAAAAGAATAAGAAACAAACAAACAAATAATATAAATAAATATAAATAAATAAATATAAATAAATATAAATAAATATAAATAAATAAAGAGAAGGAGAGGCATTACCTGCTGCCCATAGAGTGTGGTTGTGCAGAAAGGAGACAGTACGAACTGTCTCCTTCACCTACAAACCAAAACAAATAAACATAATAAATATATTATATCAATAGACAGATAAATAAATAAATTAATATACATATATATATACAGCTATATATAATATATATTTATATATATATATATACTTATATATATATATACGGCAAACATACAGAGAAAAACAAAGAAGCAGACATAAAAAGATAAATAAAAAGAGAGAGACAAGGAGAGACAGAGAGAGATAAAGAGAGACAGATAAAGAGAGACAAATAAAGAGAGACAAATAAAGAGAGACAAAGAGAGATAAAGAGAGACAGATAAAGAGATAAAGAGAGACAAAGACAGACAAAGAGAGATAAAGAGAGATAAAGAGAGATAAAGAGAGAGAAAAAAGACGAAGAGACAAAGCAGCGCGGCGTCTTCCCACATTTATATTTACAATACGCATTCTATTTATTTATTTATTTATTTATTTATTTATTTATTTATTTATTTATTTATTTATTTCTTACATTGATGTCTGTTAATGCATGCATGTCTTCTCTATTTATCAGACTCAGCCTCCCTTTCTGTCCTCCCAGCAATAAATATCGGCCGTCTCGGCTGCAAGAGATTGAGTAGGGGCCGTAGGATAAGTTTAAACGAAACGCCTATAAATAAATAAATAAATTAATTAATTAATTAATTAATTAGTTAATTAATTAATAATAAATAATAAATAGAGTATAAAGAAAATGATTAATAAGGATATACATAATGCAAGAGATTGAGTAGGGGCCGTAGGATAAGTTTAAACGAAAAGCCTATAAATAAATAAATTAATTAATTAATTAATTAATTAATTAGTTAATTAGTTAATTTAGTTAATTAGTTAATTATATTGATTAATTAATAAGCAGATTATAAATAAATAATTAAACGCGAACATATACACTGTAAGGAATACATAAATAAGTGTATATATATATATATTATATATTTTATGTAAATATAAATATATATATATATTTATTTATTTATTTAGAGATGATGTATTTTATATTACGTATTAGATGTTAGATATAGTATTTATTATACATTATCTTATCAAATTATATATAATTTATATATAATATATATAAAATATAACAAATATTATATATATGTTAAATTATATATATATTTATATTATATATATGCTTTGTATAAACACAAAAGATAAAGGAGGAGGCGAACAAAGAAGAGACAGCGAAATCTTAAAATAAATATACTTAAGAAGAGAGCAACAAAAATAATAATAATAAAATATTAAAAGGAGACAGAGCATAAACAAAAAGAGACAGATATTTATAACTGCAACAACAACCCCTCAAACTTCCACACAAACCACATTAGGGTTTAGGGTTTAGGGTTTAGGGTTTAGGGTTTAGGGTTTAGGGTTTAGGGTTTAGGGTTTACCTTTTTACGAATCTCTTCGCTAACATTTTTAAGGATATCTTCCTGACGAAATTTATAAACCTTTTCCAAGCCCTCTGCTTCAATATAACTAAATAAATAAATAAAGACAATAAATAAATAAATAAAAACTATAAATAAAGAGAGACAGATCAATTGAAATAAACAAGAAGAGACAGATAAAAGGAGACAAATTAAACAGAGACAGAAGGAGAGACAAAACAAACAAAGAAAAAAAATTAAAGACACTGCAGATACACCCCGCTAACGAAAGAATTAAAAAGGTATAGATGCAACTGCCTAGCTGCTGCTGCTGCTGCTGCTGCTGTTGCTGCTGCTGCCCAAGTGCTCTGCTGCAACAATTGCTGCTCTTGCTGCTGTTGCCGCTGCTGCAGCTGCTTCTGCAGTAGCTTCTGCTGCTGTTCTAGCTGCTGCTGCTGCTAGCTACTATTCCTGCTGCTGCAGCTCCTGCTGCTCTAGCTGCCGTTGCTGCTGCTGCTGCTGCTGCTGCAGCTGCTGCTTACCCTCCTTGCTCTTCAAATAGAGAGGAGACAGCTGCAGCACTTTCTTTTGTTTTTGCTGCCAGCGTCTTGTGTTGTTTTATTATTGCCCGAGACCGCTTGGATGTCCGCGACTGAAACACCAAACCCTAAACCCTAAACCCTAAACCCTAAACCCTAATCCCCAAACCGTAAACCTCACACCCTGAGCCCTTAACCCTTAACCTTTAACCTAAATCCTAAACCCTAAACCCTAAACCCTTAAGTGTGAAGGTGCAAATCAACACAATCTGCAGTCTGCGGTGTACGTGCAGCTCTGTTGGTGCACTGTGGGGTGGAGGGTTTATTAGAGAGACTGGCAGTTAGGGTTTAGGGTTTAGGGTTTAGGGTTTAAGGTGTACAGTTGTTTAGTGTTTACGTTTGGTTTGCCCTATGAATTCAATGTTAAGGGTTTAGGGTTTAGGTTTGCGGGGGTTTAGGGTTTAGGGCTGCTGAGCGTTTAGGGTTTCGAGTCATTTAGGGTTTCTAAGAGCATCAGTTTCCGAGGGTTTAGGGTTTAGGGTTTAGGGTTTATGGTGGTTTAGGGTTTAGGTTTAAGGTTCAGGGTTTCTGAGGGTTTAGGAATTAGCGTTTCCGATTGCTCAAGGATTAGGGTTTCCGAAGATTTAGGGTTTAGGGTTCGTGAGGGTTTAGGGTTTAGGGTTTAGGGCTTGTGAGGGTTTAGGGTTTAGGGTTTAGGGTTTACTAACTTGCGGGTCTTCTATAGGCAATTGGCTTTGCTTAGCTCCCGGCGTTTCTCTCGCCGGGGGCCCCTGGGGGCCCCTCATCTTAATGTGCAGTTTGTAATGTGCAGCTGTAGGTAGCTGTATAGCTAGTTGTTGGCTAGCTGGCTAGCTAGCTAGCTAGTTATTGGCTAGCTAGCTAGCTAATGAAAGGAAGAAGAAGATTAGAAACTGCAGCAGAAGGCGCTGGTGTATGTACAGCTGCTGGTGTTGCTGCTGAAGAAGATAAGAAGAAGGCAATGAGGGAAAGTAAGAAATTAAAAATAAAAAGTATTTAAATACATTTTAAATGAGAAAAAAAACAAAATAATATCTTTCAGCTGCATGTTTATATATATGAGGGGCCCCCCATACAGCCCCATGCGCATGCATGTAGCATATACACCCGAAATGTGAATTTTTTGAATTTTTAAATAGGCTTATAACCCCTCAAACGATTTATTTTTGTTTTTTTTATTATTATTTTCGGGTTTTATTCTTTTTTATCCGCATTTTAATATACTTTTCACCCCATGCAGCACTCAAACAAAGACTTAGAAGCCGCTGGGCATTACCGCCCGCTGACAGAAGAAAACAGCAAAAAAGAAATTCATGCGGAGGCCGAAGCAATAAATAAAATCAAACATCAAACAGTAAACCCTAAACCCTAAACCCTAAACCCTAAATCCTAAACCCTTATTGCTATAAGCCCTTAGCAATAGTAAGCCCTAAACAGAACTAGAAAAAAAGCAAATAGAAATTCAGGCGGAGACCGAAGCAATAAATATAATCAAACATCAAACCCTAAACCCTAAACCCTAAACCCTTAGAGCTGTAAACCCTAAACAAGAATAAACCCTAAACCCTAAACAGCCGATGAAACCCTCGAGTTAATGCAAAAAGAAATTCAGGCAAAACAAATTCCACAGCAGCAGCCGCTAAACCCTAAACCCTAAACCCTAGCAAACCCTAAACCCTTTATATATATATATATATACATATAATCTGAGGTGTATGTACAGCTGGATGCAAACTATTAATAATTCATATCTTGCGGTGTACGTGCACTTTTCAGTTTGTTTTTTTTTTTGTTTTTGTTTCTGCAGCCTCCGCAACAGCGGAAACCAATTCGCAGCACGAAGAAGAGAGCCGATATACAGGCTTCAATTAGAGAGAGAGCGGATGTAAGCAACGCAAACCCTAAACCCTAAACCCTCAAACGCACAAATCATCAACGTCGCGCCAAGGCGGCAGTCAAACCAAGAGAAACCCTGCGCTCGAGGGTTTAGGGTTTAGGGTTTAGGGTTTAGAGTTTAGGGTTTGGTCCTTTTGGGCCCTAGGGTTTAGGGTTTTAGGGTTTAGGGTTTAGAATTTAGGGCGGTAGGGTTTAGGGTTTATATCTTCCTTTAGGGTTAAGGGTTTAGGATTTGTCTCCGTTTTAGGATTTAATTAGGGTTTGCTTTCTTCTTTAGGGTTCAGGGTCTAGGGTTTAGGGTGCTCTCTTTAGGGTTTAGGGTTTAGGGTTTAGGGTTTAGGGCTTGTTGATTTCTTTCTGTGGATTCAGAGACCAGTTCCAGCAGGATGTGTCTGGGCAATTTGCGTGGGGGCGGAAGTCGTGAGGATGCAAACCCTAAACCCTAAACCCTAAACCCTAATCCTTAAACCCTAAACCCTAATCCTTAAACCCTAAACCACCCTAAACCTTAATTGATTCGAGTTGCGGAGTCTTCCTTGGGGGAGGAAAGAAAAGGGTTGAGCCTCTAGGGTTTAGTGGTTAGGGTTTAGGGTTTTACGATTTATTTAATTTATTTATTTATTTATTTTTGTTTATTTTATTTTTTATTTTTGTTTTTTCAGCTGTTCCCAGAATTGCTGAAGGCAGCGCGCCGCCCTGAAGTAATTCGGCCGACGTTTCTCAGGTTGGTGGTTTGTTTCAAGGGTTTAGGGTTTAGGGTTTAGGGTTAGAGTTTAGGGTTTACGCTGGGGTGGCTAGGGTTTATGGCTTAGCTTTCAAGGGTTTAGGGTTTACGGAATAGGGTTTAGGGTTTAGGGTTTAGGGTTTTGGGTTGGGCGAGCAGAAATGGTATGCAAGCACAGTAATCGAACACGCACGAGAAGGGTTTAGGGTTTAGGGTTTAGGGTTTAGAAGGGTTTAGGGTTTAGAAGGGTTTAGGGTTTATTACAATCGAGTTCTTAAGGTGTGCCTACACCTTGGCGACGCCTCTTATTCATTTTAGGGTTTAGGGTTTAGGGTTTAGGGTTTAGGGTTTAGGGTTTAGGGTTTTGTTGTTTTCCTGCAGCGTAGAGAATACATACAGTGAAGTTCTTTTCTGCAAATGTTTTATTAAAAGAAAAACAGTATTCATCTTCCGCTTCGGTAAACCCTAAACCCTAAACCCTAAACCCTAAACCCTTGAAGGTTTCAGGCCTTACACTGCCTTGTGTCAGCGGCGCCAGAACCAGCAGCAAGAGTATCTTTAAACAGCAGCAGCACGATCAGCAGCAGCACGATCAGCAGCAGCAGCAGCAGCTGAACTGCAACTCCAGCAACAGCAGCAGCAACAGCAGCAGCAGCAACAGCTCGAAGCAGCAGCACCAACAGCTCCATTGGCAGCAAGAACAGCAACAGCAGCAGCAGCAGCAGCAATAGCAGCAGCAACAGCAACAGCAGCAGCAGCAGCAGCAGCAGCAGATTCGAATTAGTGTTTGTTTGTTGTGGGGTGTTTAGGGTGTATTGTGGCTTGGGATGTCGACGGAGACGAGCAGAAGGTCAGCGTCTTTGATTTTTATTTATTTCTTTTTTACTGTTCTTCATTTATTTATTTGTTTATTTATTTATTTATTTATTTATTATTTGTTTATTTGTTTATTTATTTATTTGCTCGGTTGTTTGTTTGCTGCAATTGTTTGTTTGTTTAGTTTTGCTGGTTGTTATTTTTTTCTTCTCTTTCTCATTCCTGTCCTCTTAGGGTTTAGGGTTTAGGGTTTAGGGTTTAGGGTTTAGGGTTTATATTGCATTTATTTGGTTGTGGATGTTGCTATCGAGATGAATACTGCGAGCGTCTGCTTGTTTATTTATTTATTTATTTATTGTTTATTAATTACACAATATTTATATCGTATTTGCTGTCGCTTCTTTCTTCATTTGTTTATTTACACACATGAATATATATATATATATATATATATATAATTTGTATATATATATAGCTAAATGTTTTGATAATAAATAAAATAGCATTTATATTGATTTATTTAATAGATTTAAACTGATTTATTATTAAAGAATTGAATAATAAATATATTTAATTATATATTGTTTGTTTATTTATTTATGTTGTAGGCTTTAGTAGGGTTTCTACAGCCGTATTTAAAAGAGGCTTTGGGTTTAAATAAAGAAGAAGATAATATGTCTTATGTTTGGGGGGACAGAGCAATAATAAAAGGAGACAGTATACACCTCGTTACTACAAATGTGTTTGAATGTCTTGCTTATTCATATGCATTTGCACAGGTATTATAAGGGTTTCTAAACCCTAAACCCTAAACCCTAAACCCTAATCAATCCTATTCACATGTCTCTACTCAGACCTAGGACAAAACCCTAATTTTAAACCCTAAACCCTTAACCCTAAACCCTAAACACCTTTATCAATAATAGAATATTATTATAAACCCTAAACCCTAAACATCCTTATCAATAATAGCAAACCCTAAACAACGCTAAACCCTAAACCCTAACCACCTTTATCAATAATAGAAAACCCTAAACAACCCTAAACCCTTCAGCACCCGAAGGGAAGGAGACAGCAGCAAACAGAGGAGACAGTGATAATCAAAGAGAGAGAGCAAGACAGCTGGATGTAGAGTAGAGGCTGCTGCAGCAAAAAAGCAAAGGAGACAGCAATATGTACAAGGAGACAGACAGAATAATCTTTGTCTCCTTTTCTTTTTGTTGTTTTTTCTTTTAGAGCGTCAAATTAGCCTTCTTCGAAACCCTCGTCGATGCAGACATAGAGCGAACCAAAATGATACCCGGTACTAATTGCTGCTGCTGCTGCTGCTGTTGTTGTTGCTGCTGCTGCTGCTGTTGCTGCTGCTGCTGCTGCTGTTGCTGTTTTGTTTGTCTCTTTTTTCACGTTTGTTTTCTTTGTTTGCTTCTTGTGCTGCTGCTCCTTCTTCTTCTCGTTGCATATGTGCTGCTTTTGCAACCCACTGTCTCTGCTGCTGCGGTTCCTGCTGCTGCTGCTGCTGCTGCTGCTGCTGCTGCTGCTCCCCTCGCCTCCTCTGTTTCCCCTACACCTACACCTACTGCTGCTGCTGCTGCTGCTGCTGCTGCTGCTGCTGCTGCTGCTGCTGCTGCAGAGAGTTTGGCGCGTACTGGAAATATTCAATCGACGCGCGAAGACATCGGACGGCGAATCGGCGAATTATTTGTAAATAGATTTTACATCAACTTGCACACTGACATCTTGGATACACCCGGTAATATTCTTATACCCTACTTAATAATATATATATGTATGCATATTATATATATACATATATATATGTATAGATGTATATATATATACATATAGATAGATGTATATATATATAGATCTGTATATATATATATATATTATTATATGCAGAGTCTTCAGTCTCCAGCAGTTTGTAGCACGCTTTGTGGGGTTTGTCATTTGCTGCGCAAACCCAACAGCAGCAGCAGCAACAGCAGCAGCAGCAGCAGCACCACCACCACCACCACCTGAAATCGTGTATTGGGAGTTGAACTGCTGCTGCTTCCAACAGCAGCAGCAGCAGCAGCAGCAGCAGCAGCAATAAGTACTAACTATAGGCATTCATTTTTCTTTGTTTTTCAGATATATTCTGGGATAACGATGACTTCGCTGACCACTACGACAATTGTCGGCGATATTTAGAAATACCGAAACGCGTTGAAATTCTCAATCAGAGGTAAAACCTGCAAATGCGCGTCTTGAGGTGTACGTACACCTCAGCAGCAGCAGCAGCAGCAGCAGAAGCAGAAGCGTTGACACGTCTGGAATCTGCTGCTCCTCCTCTTGTGCTATTTCTACTCAGATTAGATATTATTAAGGATCTGTACGATATGCTCAACAACGAACTCACCATTCAGGTAGGCTGCCACTCTGTAAGGATAAAGAACCAGCAGCAGCAGCAGCAGCAGCAGCAGCAGCAACAGCAACTACAGCAACAGCAGCAGCAACAGCAGCTACTGCAGCACAGCAGCAGCCACAGCAGCTACTACAGCAACAGCACCCGCAGGAGCAGCAGCAGTAACGCAAGCAGCAGCAGCAAGAGCAGCAGCAACAGCAGCAGCAGCAGCAGCTAGAGGCTAGCGGCTAGCTAAGATGAAGAGGCTGCAGTGTTTGGTGAGGAGAAATGTTTGTTTATGTTCAATATTTGTTCTATTTGTTTTATTTGTTTTGTTTGTTTTGTTTGTTTTTCACAGCACGGCTACAAACTAGAGTGGATTGTGATATATTTAATTTGCATCGAAGTGCTGATTGATGTCGTTTGGAATATCCTCATCAAGGACGTCTTAAAATGGGTCTGATAAACCCTAAACCCTAAACCCTAAACCCTAAACCACCGCTTCCTCAGGACAGGGCGCGAACAGCGGCCTCTGCTTTGATGGCTTCGACTGAAGTTTGAAGGGTTTAGAGTATAAATGAATATATGAATAAAGAAAGAAGCGGGAGCAAGAAAGACAAACAAACAACAAAAAAGATAAACTTACTTGCAGGGGCTAACTGAGCTAAGATGCGAGCGACGTTAGAGTGCAGAGCCTCTTTTATCATTTCTCCTTCTGCCTTAGGAAATTAAAAAAAAATTTTAATATTTCTTTTTTTGTATTGAAGCTGCAAACAAACAAACCCGCAAAAGCTTCATCTGCAACTGCAATATCTTCATCCTCTCCTGAATAACGCGCACGTGAGCAGCAGCAGCAGCAATAACATCATCATTATCAGCAGCAGCAACAACAGCAGCAGCAACAGCAGCAGCAGCAGCAGGAGTCGCCACTGCTGCTGCTGCTGCTGCTGCTGCTAGTGAGTGGCTAACCAGGCGTTCCGTTGCATCTCTTTTCTTTTGCATTTCGCTGACGATTTCGTCCACTGTGGGGTATCTGAAGAACCCAGAGTTTATGAGCAGCAACAGCAACAGCAGCAGCAGCAACAACATCAACAGCAGCAGCAGCAGCAGCAAGAAGAAGAAGCAGCAGGAACAGCGCAGCAGCTGCTGCTGCAGCGCAGCACAAGGCGCTTACGGTTTCTCAGCTTGCGTGATTTTTACGTTCAGCTGTTTCTCTGTCGTGAGGCCGAATTTTGTTTCTGCGGTTTTAAATATATGCAATGACGTTTGTTGTTTGCATTTGGGGTTTGTTGAGTTGAACGTACGCTGTTTAGCTGCTGCTGCAGCAGCTGCTGCGGCTGCTGCTGTTGCTGTTGCAGCAGAAGAAGCAGCAGATGAGCTGGTAAGCTGCAGGAAAGACGAGGGGGATCTCCTCTCCTGCTTTCGGTTAAATCAAGAGATACAGCTGAGGGTTTATTTGTAGCTAGAGAGCCTAACGTACATGCAGCATCGGCTGTTTATTTTGCTTTATTTTCTCTTCTTGTTTGAAGGCAAGAGGCGTGGGGGTGTATGCAGCAGGTGCAGTTGCTGCTGCTATTCCTGCTGCTGCTGCAGCGCTTTGCTTCAGGGCTTGCTTCACAGCCTTGATGGTTTAGGAGGTAAGAGATTTGCTTTTATGTTGTCTCTCTGCCTCTGTTTTCAAGTTGTTCGCTCTTTTATATAACGCACCGCCTTGTCTACTAGGAAGGGGTTCAACTGAAGTTGAATATTTTCTTCTAAGCCTGAAAGCGCATGCATATCCATCAAAGAAGCAGCAACTCTGCTTCCTTGCAAGCCCCAAGTGAGGGGCGGCGTTATTTGTCTCTCTTTTCACCTGCAACTGTTATTTGAGTTAGCTGGCCGAACTCCATCATTGCCTGGTCAAACATCTGCAAAGAGTTAGGGTTTAGTTAGGGTTTAGGGTTTAGGGTTTAGGGTTTTTTACCTTCGTTTCCTCGTCTGCTCGCAGTTGCTCAATCTCATCCTATTTCAGCATTACGCCGCATTTGTTTTTGCTTTATTTTTTATTTTTATTTGCATACCATCTTCTCCTTTATTTGAGGGTCTGGTTCGTTAACTTCTGTCAGCTGCAGCAGGGGGGAAAGAAGAAAATTACAACAGTTATATAATGTTGCTCTGTTTCAGCACAAGCACTTGAACACAACAGCAAATAAACAAACAAAATGCAAACATGCTCAAACGCACCTGCAGCTTAACTGCTGGAGGAGGCGCGAGAGCGGCAGCCATTATATCGCCAACTATTTTATTTTCAGAGCGAACGGTTTCTCCGGTTTGCAAAAACGAAGAAAAACTCCGAAGAGGGCCGTTTCCCCTCATGTGAGAAACTGAAGGAGAACGAAAGGCCCTAGAATCCGCGCTGCAAAGGGTTTAGGGTTTAGGGTTTAGGGTTTCTACACGATGACGGACCTGTCGTTCATCTGCTGGAATCTGGCCGCAGCTCCTCCTCCTGTTGTTTCCTCGCCGACCCGGGGCAGCATTGCCCCTCTTATAGCGCCTTGAAGGATGTCAGGGTTGTTGAATATGCTCATAGCCTAACAAATAAAGTAAGTGATATAATAATCGCTGGCAGAGGTGCAATTGCAATCATCGAAACGAGCACCACCTACCCTCTCCACTGCTGCAGAAATTTGCGTCTGTGCATTGTCCAGCTGGGTGTTGTATTCATCTTCTAGTTTCGCCATCAGCCCCTTAATTCGGTTCATTCACCGGCAAAATGTAATATGCAGAAACGCTTAAAAGTAGAAAAGCAGAAGAAATAATAATATCGAACCTCTTCGAGTTCGAGCCGGGACCTCTCCAGCAGAAGGACTTCAGCGGTAACTTGTGGCAAAGGCTGGAAATGCGCTCATAATTTTGGTAATAATAATGATAATGATGATGATAATGGTGATGATAATGATGATCATAGTGCAAAATCAACCGCAGATTCCTGAAATACGCGGTACAGAGGCAGGAGTCTTACGTCGTCTGGTGGGGAGAGTTTGACTTCAATGGAAGGCAAAGTTTGCGCATTTTGACGAAATTTAATTGGCCAGGAATTCTAAAAAAGAAATGGTGATCGAGGAGAGGTTTTATTGCTGGTTTCCGCTAGCCTTCCTACCGCTTTCAGTCCAACAGTCGGCCGCACAGTCAACAGAAATGCAATCCCGATGAACTCCGCAACTTGACGTAGGTATAAATGCCTATGCATTTTCGGAAAAATTTAAAGTGATTTATCCATTTTCATTCCGTAACCAGCCGCATTCTGATGCTCCATACCTCTACTTCCCCTTCTGAATTTAAACAACTCGATAAAGAAAGCTGCCGATACAGCCGAGATGAAACCTATCACCAGTGCACTATCCGTTGAATTGAACGAACGTTCGTGAGGTTTTGCAAACTACGAAAATTAATCCTTTATACGGAAACTTTTTCGAATTGTTTTGGTGATTTCGGCTCTGCTTTCATATGCAGACTCTGTTGATTCAACAGAGCTGAAACTGCTCCACGCTACAATGCTGTCGGCCTGTTTATTTCAATTGAACAACAGGAAGTAAAGCGAAATAAGCATTTCTGCTCTATTAAAGATAAGTTTTTCTTCTTTGATTTATGGCGGTGGATTCCGCACAACACGCTTCTTTTTCCTTGCTAAATTGCCTGATGGCATTTAGTTGCCTTCTTTTTCAGCTAAACTGAACAAATTCACTTTGACTGAACAAAACTCTTCTTTTACTCAACTTGGGTTTTGTTTTTTCGTCTTTTTCAGTGCAACTGGTTATTAATTTGTTCCATAGAAAACAGCGGACCGCCTCGTACTTAATGCGAGTGCGGAGGAGCTATTAGTCTGTCTGTGGGTATATTTGGGTTTAAATAACTAATTTTTAAGTATTTGTCTTTATTTATTTGTTTTATTAAATTTATTTTCCGCTTAATTTGCTTATTCAGCTTCCTCCCAGCCTGCTGGCCTCGGCGGGCCTCTCGAGCGAGGCATCGATATGCGAGCATGGCACCCGACACCTGCCTATACACCTAACGGCTAATTCTGTTCTTATTTATTTCTCTTTGTATTTCTTTTTTCATTTCTATATTTAAATTTACACAAAGTAAGCTAAGCAACCCCTCTGACGCTGGGGCCTCAAACCCCCTCTACGCGTCTGTCGGCTGTGGGGCCCCCTGCTGCAATCTACCGGCTCAGCAGCTCCTCGCCCATTGCTTTTACTTCATATTAAGTTGCTTATTTCTCTATTTGTTATTATCTGCAGCACTTGCTGCAGTATCTGCTGCTCCCCTATTCAGCTGTCACGATGGGCCCCCTAGACAGCTTTCCTCTTCTATAAGCATGAAGGGGGCCCCTCTAGCAACACTGCCTCCTCATGGGGGCCCCTGCTTGTTGTTTGTTAAGATCGAGCGATAAACATCTGTTTCTGTCTCCTCTACTTCTCATTCTCTTGGTTTCTATGTGTCTGGTGCTGCAGCAAGATGGGGGTGGGACCCCGCCTGCAGCAGCAGCAGCAGCAGCAGCAGCAGCAGCTGCGGCAGCACTGGAGTTTGCTGTTCTTGCCCCTCTTTTTTCTGCTGCTGCTTTGCTGCATGCAGGAGGCCCTGTGTGAATGTTTGCTGCTGCGTTTCTCTGTCTCTCCTGTCTCATCTCGCAGCAGCAAAAGCTGTGCCTTTGCTGCTGCAGCGGGGCCCCCTTGGCGGCGTTTCTCTCTTCCTGCTGCAGCTGCCTGCCAGCAAGGGGGCCCCTCAACTGAAGCAGACATTAATAAAGAAGATAAAAATAAGAGTGTATATACAGCCCGCGCATCCGAACAACAGGGGGCCCCCATCAAGGGGGCCCCCAAGTGGCAGCCGTATCCTTTTCAAGAAGTAGAAAAACGCTGGTTGAAGTACTATGCAAATAATTGCAGCGAATTCTCTCCTCCTCTTCCCTCACAACATAATCCAAACACTATTGAAACATACTGCAGCAGCAGCAGCAGCAGCAGCAGAAGCGATACCAGCAGCAGCAACAGCAATAGCAACGACAGCAGCAGCAGCAGCAGCAGCGACAGCAGCAGCAGCGACAGCAGCAGCAGCAGCAGCATTAGGGATCCATCAGGGGTTGGTAAGTACTACGTTTTATCGATGATTCCTTATCCTTCGGGAAGTGGTTTGCATATGGGGCACTGCTATACATACACCCTAGCAGATGTAGCAGCACGGTTTCAGCGTTTGCTGCTGCGAGCTGCACTACATAAAGAAAGGAGGGAAAGAAGAGAAACAAAACAACAACTCACAAAGAGCAGCAGCAGCAGCAGCAGCGACACCAGCAGCAGCAGCAGCATTAGCAGCAGCAGTAGCAGCAGCGGGAAGGAGAAGCGAAACGCGCAGCAACAACAGCAGCAACAACTGCAACACCCACCACACCCACAGCAGCAGCAGCAGCAGCAGCAGCAACAGCAACAAGAGAAGCCGCTGCAGCCTGACGTGCTGCACTGTATGGGCTGGGACTCCTTTGGTCTCCCAGCGGAGCAGCACGCGAGGGAGCGAGGAGAGCCTCCTTCGATATCTGTTGCAGCAAACATAAAAGCATTTAAGCAGCAGCTGCAGCAGCTCGGCATCAGTGCCGATTGGAGACGAGAAATCAATACTTGCTGCCCGACCTTCTTCAAATGGACTCAGTGGAGTTTCTTACAAATGTTTAAAAGGGGGCTCGCCTATCAAACAAATGCATACGTCAACTGGTGCCCCGCACTCGGTCAGTCGAGGGTCTAGGGTTTAGGGTTTAGGGTTTAGGGTTTAGGCTTTATCCTTTAAGCTTGTTGGTATCGCATTTTCTCCCTAAATGGGCGTGGCATTTCAGTTCTTTCTGTGTCTGTGGTTTAGAGGTTAGGGTTTAGGGTTTAGGGTTTAGGGTTTGCATGCAGGTACGGTGTTAGCGGATGAGGAATTGACTGCTGAGGGTTTGAGCGAGCGAGGGGGTTTCCCAGTAGAGCGTCGTCTGCTGCAGCAGTGGCATCTAAGGCTTGGGGTGTACGTTGAGCGTTTGTTTGAAGGATTAAAAGAAATAGACTGGCCTACAGATGTCTTACAAATGCAGAGGCATTGGTTGGGGCGTACGGTGTATACGCAGCTGCCTCTAGCGCTAGTAAATGAGGGTTTAGGGTTTCCTAGCGAGGGTTTAGGGTTTAGAACAGAAGCCCCGCAAACCCTAAACGCCTTGCTGCTTCAACCTGAACAACTCTGCTGCTGCACCGCTGTCGCCATACACCCCCTAAACCCTTTTGCTGCTGCTTTATGTCGTAGAGACGCAGAAGTAGCTCTGCTTCAAGAATATATCAAACAAAATAAACGCAAAAACGAGGAAAGACAGATGCTTGGCTGCAGCAGCAGCAGCAACAGCAGCAGCAACAGCAGCAACGCAAACAGCAGCACTAGTACCACCACCACCAGCAGCAACAATAGCAGCAGCAGCAGCGGCAGCAACAGCAACAGCAACAGCAGCACGCAGGGCCTAAAGGGGTTCTTCACTGGGGTGTACGTACACCACCCTGTAACGCGTGCGAAGATGCCGGTAGTGGTAACAGACGCAATCGAGCAGCTGCAGGAGTTTGGCTATCAGCTAACTGCAGCAGATTTGCTGCTGCTAGCTCCGCTGCAACAGCAGTTTGCTGCTCCTCTCGCTGCTGCAGGCCTGGTGCCGCTCTCCCCAACAGCAACAGCAACAGCAACAGCAACAGCAACAGCAACAGCAACAGCAACAGCAACAGCAGAAACAGCTGCAGAGGCAGCAGCGCAAGAAGCTGCAGCAGCAGCAGCAGCAAGAGAGGAAGCTGACAGGTGGCTTGCTGCTAGCAGCAGCAAAAAGGAGATAGTTCGATACAGGCTGAGAGATTGGCTCTTCAGTCGTCAGAGATTCTGGGGGGAGCCGATCCCTGTGCTGCGTCGCTGCAGCAGATGCACGAAAGAAGCAACAAAAGATGCAGCAGCAGCAGCAGCAGCAGCAGCAGCAAGAGGTGCAGCAGCGCAAGAAGCAGCAGCAACAGATGCAGAGACACCTGAAGTGCTGCCCCTTAACGAGGCAGATTTACCTCTAACCCTCCCTCCATTCCGCCCGGAACTCACAGCCAACTACTCAGCAGCAGCAGCAGCAGCAGCTGCTGCTGCTGCTGCTGCTAATGACGCTTCTGCTGCTGGCAGCAGGGAGGCCCTGGAGCCCGTAGCAGCACTCAGCAGGTATAAAGATTGGGTCACCGGCGTCTGTCTCGCATGCAACCCAAAATACACACACAAAGACAAACAAATTAGTAATTCAGCAGTCCCTGGAAGGGCCTCGGGGGGGCCCCCTCAGGGGGCCCCCCAGAGAGAGGAGGGCCCCCCTGAGGGCTCCCTTAGAGTTGAGGGTTCTCCTGGAGGGGCCCCCAGGGGGGCCCCCGTTGGTGAGGGGCCCCCAAAGGGGGTCCCTAATGTTAAGGAGGGGCCCCCTGTGGGGCCCTCTGTTAGTGAGGGGCCCCCTGGGGGCCCCCCTGTTAGTGAGGGGCCCTCTGGGGTGCCCCCCGTTGGTGAAGAGGGGGCCCTTGGGGGGCCCCCTGCTAGTGAGGGGGCCCCTGGGGGGCCCCCTGTTAGTGAAGGGGCCCCTGGGGGGCCCCGTGTTGGTGTTTCTTCAGGTGGGGTTGTGGAGGGGGTCGCCGATTTGAATAGTTTTTTTTGTTATCACCGGGAGACAGCGACAATGCCTCAGTGGGCTGGCAGCAGTTGGTATTACCTTCGATTCATCGATCCCTTTAATGAAGGGGCCCCCGCGGGGGGCCCCCTACTTCGCTATTGGCTTCCTGTTGATCTTTATATTGGAGGAAGAGAGCATGCAGTCACCCACCTCATATATGCAAGGTAAGAAACACAGCTAGCTAGCTAGCTAGCTAGCTAGCTGGCTTGCTTGCTTGGTTGCTTGCTTGTTATCGTTTGGCTAGCTAGCTAGCTAGCTAGCTGGCTTGCTGTCGTTTGGCTAGCTACCTGGCTAGCCAGATGATAGCAGCAGCTCGCCAGCTAGGAGCAGCAGTTAGCTATGCAACAGAATCAGCTAGCCAGCAAGCAGCAGCAGCAGCAGAAGCAACAAACTAAGCAGCAGAAGCAACAGCAGCGGCTAGCTAACCAGGTGCAGCAACTTCTTTGTCTCCTTTCTAATATACCTCGCTGCATTTTGTGTTTTTGTTTATTGTCTCTGCCGTCTTAGTGTTGATGTTGCTGTCGTACATATTATTTATTTTATAATATGTACGTTGTTTGTTTGTTTCTCTTCGCGTTTGCTCTGCCTTTGTTGCTGTATTTACTTCAAACCCTAAACCCTAAACCCTCATACCGGCCTCTGCCGCACACAATTATTATACCTTTTCTTTTAATTTGTTGTCTATTGCTGCTTGTCTTTGTGTTTATTATTTTTGTTTTGTTTGTTTCTGTCTGTCTTTTATTTGATATGTTTCTTTTGTTTTTTCTTTAGGTTTTGTCTGTCTTTGTTTGTCTCCTTTTGCATTTATATTAATCTTTTTATTATTTTGTTTGTTTTTTAATTTTTAATTGTCTCCTTTTTATTTTTATATGAATATCTTTTTGTTTTTTATTTGCCTTTTATTTATTTTTATATCTGTTATTATTTTTTGTTGTTTTTACATATTTTATTGCTATACCACGTTTTTCTTCAATAAATTTATATATATATATATATATATATTGTACTAGGTTAACAGATTATATTAACATACAATATATATATATATATATGCATATATATACATATATATATATATATATTGATAGATTAATTAGTTTATGAATGCATTGAGTGATTGATAATTTTTTGTTTTTGTTGTTTGTTTAGGTTCTGGCATAAGTTTTTAAAAGACATCGGAGTTGTACACGAAGAGGAGCCGTTCAGGTGTCTCCTCACCCCTGGTGTTATATTAGGGGCCCCCCGTCATTTTCTGCTGCGTAGAATTGATACAGGGGCCCCTGTTGATGCTGCAGATGTTCGCCTTGATCCTGCTGCTGCTCCTGCTGCTCTTGCTGCTGCTGCTCCTGCTGCAGCTGCTGCTGCTGCTGGCGGTGAGCCCATTGAGCAGTCTCCGCCAGCAGCAGCTGCAGCAGCAAAAACAGCAACAGCAGCATCAGCACCAGCACTAACAGAACCAGCAACAGCAACAGCAGCAGCTCCTGCTGCTGCTGCTGCTAGCATGCAGAAGACCCCCTGCGGTGTTCACCTGCCTTCTGGCGTTGCTGTTTATAAGGAAGAGATAAACAGCAATTCATCTCTTATAAAACAAATTAATCGAAGGGGCTGGGCCCTCTTCATTCCCAATAAAAACAGCAAAACAACAGCAGCAGCAGAAGCAGCAGCAGCAAAGCCACTTGCTTCAGATATAGCAGCAGCAACAACAGCAACAGCACCAACAGCAGCAGCACCACCAGCAACAGCAGGATCCCCAGCAGCAGCAGCAGCAGCAGGGTCTCCAGCAGCAGCAGCAGCAGGATCCCCAGCAGCAGCAGCAGCAGCAGGATCCCCAGCAGCAGCAGCAGCAGCAGGATCAGCAGCAGCAGCAAAAGGAGGATCAGGAGATGCAGCATTGAAAGATGCATGCAATGAAGGCCGTTATTATTTGCTGCTGAGTGTATATGAGAAGATGTCGAAGTCAAAGAATAACGGTGTGTCTCCTGATATGCTTTTTAAGCTGCACGGTGCCGATGCTCTAAGATTGCATTTGCTGTCTCTAGGCCCTGTCTCCTCTACGAAGGTGTGGGGTTATCAAGGAATTAAAGGCGCACACAGACTGCTGCAAAGACTTTGGAATATGATAACAGCAAACCCCAACAGCAGCAGCAGCAGCAGCAGCAACAGCAGCAGCAGCAACAGCAGTAGGTGCAGTAGCAGTAGCAGCAACGGCGGCAGCACCTGTAACAGCAGCAGCAACAACAATAGCAGCAATAGCAATAGCAACAGCAGCAACAACAATAGCAGCAGCAGCAGCAGCAGCAGCAGCAGCGACTTCGAAGGAGTTGGTGGTGATGGTGTTACTGCTGGTGGGGTTGTTGCAGCACCTATGAGTCGCGGGGAGTTGCTGCTGCTGCTGCCGCTTTTAAAAAGAGTAACTAGCAGCTTAAAACGCATGCAAGTGAATAGGGCTGTTGCTGCTCTTATGGAGGGGACACGATTGCTGCAGCAGCAGCAGCAGCAGCAAGGAGGCTGTCTGTCTGTAAGCAGCGTGCAGGTGCTGCTGCTGCTGCTGCACCCACTCGCCCCCTTTATAACAGAAGAACTCTGGAAGATAACAGCAGCAAAATATCCTTCTTTCTTTTCTTTTGCGAAGGAGACAATTGCTGCAGCAGGGGAGTGGCCGGAGGAGCTGCTGCAGCAGCAGCAGCAGCAGCAGCAGCAGCAAGCAGCAGCAAAGGAGACACAAGATAATGAAAAAGAGACAGAGACTGCATGCGTTCAGGTGTCTGTGCAGATCAACGGGAAGCACAGACTGTCTCTGCAGCTAACAGCGAAGGAGACAGATACACCCCAAAGTCTTATAGCAGCAGCAGCAAAAGCTGCTGCTGTGCAGCAGCGTCTCCAGAGAGAAGCAGCAAATAATCAAACACTCAGCAGCATATTCGCAAAGCCAGAGGCTCGCGTTGTTAACTTCATATTCAAACCTAAACCCTAAACCCTAGACCCTTTATATATATATATATATATATATATTTATAAGGCATACCGCCGCCAGCTGAATGCATGCATGTATACAAATAAACAAAATAAAACAAAAGATAAGAGGCAGAGATATTTTATTTCGTGTTCATTTACTTCTCTATAACTCTATAACAAGCTAAATATCTACAAACAAATTATTTATTTTTTGTTATAAACCTTAAACTCAATATTATGATAGATATTATAGTAAATAATAATGTAGAAAATAAATATAATATATATATTATAATACAATATGCATATATATATAATATTATTTTATTAATATATTATATATATTATGCATTATGCATACAAACGAAAGATACAAACAAAACGCCAAAAGAAAAATTTAAATAAAATAAAAAATCTGCGAGTGGCGAGAGAAAAACGAAATAAATAAATGTTTTATTTAATAATAAATAAATAAATATATAAATATATATATATATATATAGATGTATATATACATATACAATACCTGCAGATACAGAAATACAGCATATATATATGTATATATATACATATATGTATATATGTGTATACACATATATACATATATATATATATATATTATATATATATGCATATATTTCTATGTATGACGTCAGCAACACAAGAAAACAACAAGACAAAGGAACTGTCATGCAGAGAGACAGAAACGGGGGTGTCTAAGAGAAAGAGAAACGCACAATAGACAGCATATAAATGTATATATATATATATATATATAGAGAGAGAGAGAGAGAGAGAAGGAGAGAGACAGAAGGAGACAATAAACAGCTGAGATGTCTGCCTATACACCTCGGTGGCGCAAGGGCAACGGATGAATTGAGAAGAGACAGAAGAAAAACAAAGAGTAAATAAAAAGAAGCTTACACATGTCTTGAAAGAAGTAACAAACAGAAAAGCGAGGAGACAGCAACAAGACAGCAGGAGACAGAAAATATGCGAGACAGCAGCAAAGGAAAGAGACAGACAGACAACAAAGAAGCAGAGAGGGTTTAAATGCTGAAGAGAAGAAGCAGCGCAAATATTATTTAAAGAGACACAAAAACAAACAGAGACAGACAGAGAAGAAAACAGACAAGCAAAACAAATCAATTAAAAAAGTATACAGATAAATCTCAACAACACACCACAACGCACGCTGTCTGTCTCTCTTTCTTTTGCCTCCCTTCTTTCTCAGCCCTCTTCTCGAGAATACCTTCACATTAAATGAGTTAATAAGAAGTTGTAAGTATAGTTGTCTAAAGAAAAACAAAGCCTCAATTGCAAGAACTAGAATAATTATAAATTTGTGTATATTAATGTATACATACACCCTACAGCGTGTGGGAGTGGCATGTGTGTGTTTGTTATGCTTCTAAAGAAGAAGATAAGAAGGTTTTAAACACCTTATTATTTATATTTATTTTGTTTTTTGTTGTTTATTTATTTTATCTGCTGCTGCTGCGCCGCCATTCATCGAATCGCCCGCTCTGGTGTATATGAAGCAGCTGGCTGTCTGCCTCCCGCTGGCAGCAGCCCCTTGCTGTGGTGTCTTGTCTGAGGGTATTTGGGGCGTTTTGAGCTGGAAAAAGTGGGAAAATAACAAAATAATTGAATTGGTTTTTATTTATTTGCTTAATTTTGCTTTTAAACCAAACAATTTCACAAATACCTACGCCGACACCCTGCCAGCGTGCAGCCGCCCCGGCCTCCCTTGGCTTGAGGGCTCAGGTGTCTATACACCTCAGAGCTCCCTAGAAGCAGAAGGACCTCAGAAAAGTATTTAAATTCATTTTTATTCTTTAGTTTGCACAAGAAGGAGAAGAAACAACGGACAGACTACGCAGTCTGAGCAGCAGCAGTCAGCACAAGACCGGCGAGCCGTGGGGAGAGGGTTTCTGCGGTGTCCATACACCTGAATATTCATCATCCTTATATTGCGTGCATCTGCATTCCTAAACAAGTAGACTTAATAACAGCAGTTCACAGGCAGCAACAGCCCCAGCAGCAGCAGCAGCAACAGCAGCAGCAGCAGCAGCAGTCGCCTGCTGCTGCTCGACCCGCCATACCCACGAAGGACCTCTCAATTGGGCCTAAAAGATGCTCTTAGGAAGTCACACACGATCTCTGCTGCTGCTGCTGCAGCAGCTGCTGCTGTTGCTGCTGCTGCAGCAGCAACCTGCAGCAGAAGCTTCGCAGCTTTCTGCAACTAAGGTACGTAGTTAGCAGTGGTTTGTCTCAACTTTCTGTTTGCTGTAGCTGGTTTGTCTTGCTTCTTTTAAAGGCCCAGCTGTCTCCTTCTGTATCCTCAATCTTACGCAGCAACTCTCATATACGTGCATAGCATTATGCAGCATTAACTTCAAAGAAGAAACAAGAAACAAATAGTGTGTTTCTTCTCTTACTTCGGGTGTCTCTGCAGACACTCGCAAAAGATAATACCCCAGCCTTTGTTGCACCCACAAGAAATCTGCATGCTGCACCGCAGCAACACCCTTCACAAGCAGCAGCATCAGTGCTGCAGCAGCAGCAGCAGCAGCCTCAGGCTCAGCAACAGCAGCAGCAGCAGCAGAATTTCTTAAACGCAAAAGCATATCGCAGCAGCCGCCTCTTTAACAGTCGCCAGGTGCGCTGTTATAAACCCCCAAGCAGCAGTAGCAGAAACAGCAGCTGCAGTATTAGCAGGAGCAGCAGCAGCACCCGTACCTCCACCAACAACTGCAGCAGCAGCAGCAGCATCTGGAACAACAGTAGCAGCAAAACCAACAGCCTCAGCAGCAGCAACAACATCAGCAGTGGCAACACCAACAACAGCAACAACAACAGCAGCAGCACGAACAACAACAGCAGCAGCAACAGCACCAGCAGCAGCAGCAGCATGTGTGTATATGTTTTGTTTCTTTTTTCAGGGTAGTGCTGCACGTACACCCCGCATATTATGTACAGGTTTAGGGGTTGTGAGTGCTGCGGGTATTGGAGTAAATTCTTTTTGGGGTAATTTGTTAAAAGGAGTAAATAACGCAGATACAGTGCAGGCATTCGACCCTAAAGATATGGCTTGCACAGGTAAATTACTTCAAATATAAACCTTTGCATGCATGCATGCATATTTTGCATGCATATTTTGCATGCATATTTTGCATGCATGCATTCATATTTTGCATGCGCCTTAGTATATGCATCATGCCTTTAAATCCATGGATGCGAGCTTTTCTAGTTTATGTTTATTTATTTATTTGTTATTTATTTTTTTG